AAGTTGATGCTAGCTAGACATGATAACATGTGTCAACATGAACATACAAAGTTGATGCTAGCTAGACATGATATGCATGTTGATGTTGACACATGTAACTTGATGTTAGCTAGACATGGTATGTAAGTTGATGTTGACACATGTAAGTTGATGTTAGCTAGACATTATATGTATGTTGATGTTGACACATGTAAGTTGATGCTAGCTAGACATGATATGTATGTTGATGTTGACACATGTAAGTTGATGCTAGCTAGACATGATATGTATGTTGATGTTGACACATGTAAGTTGATGCTAGCTAGACATGATATGTATGTTGATGTTGACACATGTAAGTTGATGTTAGCTAGACATGATATGTAAGTTGATGTTAGCTAGAAATGATATGTATGTTGATGTTGACACATGTAAGTTGATGTTGACACATGTAAGTTGGTGTTAGCTAGACATGATATGTATGTTGATGTTGACACATGTAAGTTGATGTTAGCTAGAAATGATATGTATGTTGATGTTGACACATGTAAGTTGATGCTAGCTAGACATGATATGTATGTTGATGTTAGCTAGACATGATATGTATGTTGATGTTGACACATGTAAGTTGATGTTAGCTAGAAATGATATGTAAGTTGATGTTGACACATGTAAGTTGATGTTAGCTATGCATGATATGTAAGTTGATGTTAGCTAGACATAGTATGTTTCTTCCTTGTTTTGTATTCCCTTCTGCATGCCACAACCTTTCTAACCCAAGTTTCTAATCCATTTTCTAATGTCAATGAATCTCTGTCCTCCTCTCGCTCTTCTTTACCCAGTATATTTTTTTTCCAACATTCTCTCAGACCTAAACAAAGTTACTGATTTGTAATTATATCAATACAACTAAAGCAAGCTCGTTCATAACGCTGATTTCCTGCTCTAGTATAAAAATAACTTATGCAACTCTCTGAAAGATTTGTTGATGTCTTAAGTCATTAACGTAGCATTTACCCACGTACAAAGTTAGACTTGATATGACGCATCTATATAAACCCAGTTTTAAAAATAAGTAAAACAGAATTAAAAATTAAATGTGTCGTTTAATTAAACGTCAAGGTGCAACAAAAATGTTTAATAATTATCTGTAGAGTTCGTGCCACTTTTACAACAGGTGGTAAAAGTTAATATAATATTTTGTGTTTTACTCAGTTTTAGGTGTTGAAATCGTTCTCATCATGGAGTGTGAGCTGACAAAAGCAAGGAAGAAAGATGATAGCTCGCTTCCAAAACCGAAGTGTACGTTATTCGGTGAAGCAACAAACACAACAGAACGGCCTAAGCTGACCAGTGGTCAAATAGCCCTTCTGTCCAACACCTGGATGCTTCTGGTGGAGAATATCTCCCGTGTGGGCGTCGTCGCTTTTATGAAGTAAGATAACAGATTTTCATCAAACGTTGATATCGAAATGGTGTTTTTAAGTGTTTTACACTCACAAAGAAAGAAACCTATCATTATTTGAAGAATTTGTAGCATTCCGCCATAATTTAATTCTTCGTATTTTTAGTCGACTCTAGGCAGCTGAAACATAGTTGAACAGACCCTTCCAAGCTTTTACTTGATGTAAAACAAATGTTTAAACAACCCTATTCAAACGTTAGTATATTTAGTTTTCGTGAAGCTTTAGAGCTGAATGTCGACAGTCCTCACAATTCAAAACTAGTTATACAGAAAACTAGAGTTCAGCACTCAAAACTAAACACATACAGTCCTTACCACCTATATTTGAGTATTTAAGAAACTAGAAAGTTTTTCAGGACTCAAAAATCAACACTAAGATCTAAATGGGAAGTAGACGGATGCCAAAGTCCTCACCACTCAGAACTAAGACGAATGTAGAGAAGATAAAGTCTTGAGAATACAAACATGTAGTCCTCA